GGCATGTGAAAGTTTTGGCATGAAAATTATTTACTCAGAAACCAGAAAAGCTGAAATTTTAGGAGAACGTTCCTGCCTGTGTACCCTGGAAGTTCAAATTCGGCCCATCTCCACAGCGCATCTAGATCTCAGGATGTACCCCGCAGGAGAAATTTTTAGCACCAAATTAATAGCTAGGGACTCATGAAAGCCAGAAAGCCGAAATTTCAGAATAACGCTTATTACTGCTTGCTCCTAGGTCTCACGTACGGAGATGTAAAATTTTTGGTGCCAAATTTAGTAACTCGGGTACTGCAAAAACTTCTGTATGTACCAAATAGTAATGCAGTGGGCATTTTTAACTACAAAGTTTTCCTGGATTGAGCTGCACAAGTGATTGCAGCTAGGGATCTTGGTGCGCTGCTATTTATTTTTGTTTTTAGCCTATGGATTTGTCGATACATCGAGTAGTGCATGTTCCAGTGTTTAGCCATAGTGAAACAGGCTCTTTTGACCGATACGATTTCTCGGAACACAGGATGACGCCGTCTGACGTTGAACAACAAGGCATACAAGGATCACTTCAAGCGCAACAACTGGTGTGCACTGCTTTGCGAAAAATCATGGCAAAAATTCAAGACTTCTAGGACTTTTTGCGAGCAATTTCAGCAATATTCTTTCTTTCTTCCCGCTCTTGATTTGAAAATAATTTATTTTTTATTACAGGATTATGGTGAAAGGCGTCTAGAAAAAAAAGGAATTCCATTCAGTGTGCACAGTGAATTGAACAATGAGGACGCAATTGAAGCATTCAGACAGCAAGCTCGTTTCTCTCCCACGCGCAGAGCACATTGGCTATCAAGTCATGAAGAGCAGGGAGCGAGCAATGCACTACTGGCAAGGATGAATCAGGAGTGGCGCGAAAGTAGTCAGTACATAACGAGCAGCGACGGAAATGTGAGTTTCTGCTCTGAATTTTTCCAAGCGTTTAGAAAAGCGATGAAAAGCATCGTCAAACGTGAATGAAAAACAGCGCAAAAAAAACCCAAGCTGGAACGCACCAAGCGAGCCGGTGCGATCATGCGTTTTTGCATCAAACTTTGAGGTACTCCATC